CAGGACAAAAGTGTTTGAAATCCGATACATAAACATGATTCCCTCGGCTCGTCGGTTTTCACTTCACCAGAGAAATATCACACTCTTCTTCTGAGCCACTTTGGGGACATTTTCCAACAAAACAGTTCTTCTTCAGCAGCTTCAAAAACCGGGGCTGACTGGGATTCGGCTCCTGCCATGTTCCATCAAACATGACTGTCTTCCGTCGTCGTCAGCTTCGTCTGTAGCGGCTCGTCCTGAGACCGGTCTACTGTAGTTTCCTCTGGCGCCTAATGATCTGTGAATTTGAATCAGTTCATCAGAAGCCACAAGTATTTGTGTTCGTCGTGAAGTGTTTTGAGCTGAAGTCAGTTAGGGAGGCAGCTAGCTAATGCTAACGGAGCTAGTCTTCCTTCAAACACAAAATCATGTATATTATATTCCAACACAAATTCCATGTAGGTCTCAACTGGTACATTAGTTCATATTTAGCATAAAATACAACTTTTAGAGAAAACTTTTGAGAAAAACACATTTTTGTTTCGTAGGTGAATAATTAAAGAAAAACAAACCCTTTTTTTTTTTGCAGTTGTACTGAAGTATTTGCAGTTCATAAGAAAACCTCTCCATGAAGTATTTGCTGACACACACTGCATCAGCACACACACACACACACACACACACACGTATATGGTCCCTAGGAAAAAGTAAACCTGTGTGTGGGGGAGAGGCGGCTACAATGGAGCCAAACTAGAGGGGGGTCAAGTGACTTTTTTAATGGCCTTTTTGACCTCTGACCTCTGGTCACATATCCCATCAGGTCTACAGGAGTCAGTCAGATCAGAGAGTCAGTCTGGCACCACCACCTCCAGGTCCAGTCCCAGCTTTTGTCCCCGAGTTTCCCCCCGTCAGGGTGACAGGCCTTGGTGGGACACGGCCGAGTCTGGGGGCGGAGCTGCTGTTGGTCATGTGACTGAACGGGCCTGGTGTGTAAACACTGAGCGTCTGTGATCTGGTGACACATGAAAGAGGTCTGCCTGTGGGGTTGCCAGCCTATCGTCTATATGTCAACGTTCTCCACCCACCCACACGCGCGCACACACACACACACACACACAGATGCTGACAACAGATTTATGTATTTATGCAGTACTGCGGGACAGCTCAAAGGGCTTTGACTGGAGGGGGGGGGTTGAGG